GATTTTATATTATATTTTATTTTTTGCAGCCTTCARGGGAAGTGAATGGTTCAATAGATGTCTGGTTCAAGTGGCGATACACGTATCTACCTGCTAGTGCCAAACCTCCTGCAGCCAAACAGGTATCGTTGAATTYAGTCTCTTTAATGTTTTTGAGTTTCTACTTTTGTTGYGTAAACAAGAAAAAGGGTCGTGTGTCACGGCATAAGACTATACATGATTTGTGTGCATAATTCGGGTTTGCTGAAAAACGCAAAAGACAAATCAAGACCGTATTGGTGGAGATTGTCTATCTAGTTGTTGCACTTATAGTCCAACATGGCAACCTTGTACAATTATCAAATGACGTCATATGTTGTATGTGTAGCGATTAATGGCAGTACCAAAAGACGAAGATGAGCATCAGATGGTTATCCAGGATAGTTTAGGTCAATTACAGCCACCAGATGACACATCTACACCTAAACAAGTCCACTCAGACGTTGCTTTAAAACCCAGTGAAGAGACAAGAAAACCAATGCCTGTCAAGAGAAAGAAAGAAACAAAAGAGGAGAAAATCACTGAAAAACCTCCCAGGTATGTTCTTATTACTGATGCAATCATTGGGAAATATTGCTGCAGTATCCATGTATCCTGTAGGCTTTGTTAGTTTGTCATATGAAAAACGAGCTGAAGACTGCGACCTTAAACGGTTCATGTTTTTAAAAATCTATTTTCACTATTAGAAAGAGTGCATCTAAACTATATTAAACTGGAGGAGTTTTAGTTTCTAATGTTGAATATCAGCAAAGTTACGAGCATTTGAAATGTACCAAAAACGTGAAAACAAGGCTGGTAAGACTCAAACCTTTGCAATTTCAAACACCTGTAAATTTTGGTCCTTTAATATCATAGAGGATTGGAACTTTCCCATCTTATTCATTGTAATATGTTCTTTCGATGGGTAGTAATGATATATTAGATTAGGCGTTACGATAGCCACGCCCTTTTTTGAGTGAGTCAATAATCATGAAGTATAATATTGAATCGTGTGTTACGTGCAGACCACAGCCGCAAAAGTCATTCGAAGAAATGTCTCTTGACGAGCTGGAACAAGAAGCTAAACCCAAACCAGTCCCTCGCCGCAGAACATCATCATTTACCATCGAACCAAAAGAACTAGACAAACCCATTGAAGAGATGAATATCGATGAAATGGTCGCCGCGGCGGCAAGTGAACCTGTTGATAAAGCTGAAGTRCAGCATGAATTTGATGAAGATTCTGAAGACTCTGAAGTTGAGGAGGAAATTAACGAAGAAATGGAGGAAGATGAGGTGAGATTAGAATTTGTCTTTTTTTGGTTGTTAATTTTGTTAAGATTGTTCATTTTCTGAGAAGCACGCTATACTGAGCTCTTTACATTAAACTCATAGCAAGTTTGTTTGTTTTTGTTTTAACCAAGGGAACAAATATAGCGAATTAGAAGAGAGGGAGAGGATTCTAAACCTGTACTAGGAATAAAACTGGGATCATTTGCCAGTGACATGTGTGGTTTAACCGCTGTCGTTTTAGTTGTTCGTGTTTGTTTTGTTATCTAGATTGTTGTTGTTTTCTCGTTTGAGAGGTTGTAATTAATACTCTTCTTGATTTCTAGAGCGACGAAACAGCGCAGGTTGCTGAGGAAATGCGTCGAACAGCTGAACGAGACAATGGCGATACYTTTTTTGGTGATACAACATTCGAAGAACAGCAATCTGGTAAATATGTTTACATGTTTCAATTACTTGGTCTGTGTACAGTATTCTCTGTTCTTTTCCAAACAAGAGCTGTGCCGGTTTACAGTCATAATGACAGTGGARATATGACATGATATTACCAATATTGACTCCATACAACACTTTTATATTTGGAATCGTTTTGTCATTATTCTATATGATGACACAGTAAAGATCGTTTTTATTCGAGTTATTTCAGTTTGTCAAACACCTTGTTTTTCTAGATGAAAGAGACTCGAGTTTAGGTGACGAAGTGGACATTCCTCTCCCTGTAAGAAAAGTTGACCAGGAGCAAGGTTACCAATCAGAGACAAGTGGTAGCGAAGCTGGTCTTGTTGTAGCACCTTCACCGTCTAGAGCAGCATCAGCCATAGCAGCAGTACGTAACTCATTATAATGGAATGCTTACGATTGGAATATTATTATTTGTTATTGAAATATTGAGTTCTGTCCAGAATCGTTGCCAAAATTTAAGGGGGTTTATATATTTGAAAACTAGATCGACCCGGAATTTCGTATTGATCATGTTGGTGGTTATAGCCTCTATGCTTTCAAATACATTTGAACTTGCAAGCAACAGTCAACAATGAATGTCCGTTTCCACGATTTTAGCAGAGCGATCGTCTCACGCACCTCCAATCGTAAGTGTTAACAGCCCTTCGACGGAAAATCGCCGCGAGTTGCAGCTATTTTTCAAGAATGTTCGAAACTCAGGCGATTGTCGCGCGACAAAAATCCCAAGTGTAAACGGGCCATTGAGTGGGGAGCATTTCGACCATTATCTCGTGCGAAGTTTGAAAATTAAAACAAAAAACAAAAAAAAACAAAAAAAAAAACATTTCAACGATTTTGGAAACACGATTGTAGTTTGATAGAGCAAATTGTCATGACAAGACTATACTGATAGTACGTGAAAGGCTTGTGATTGACTTCTTTCTGTCCTCAGAATTCTCAAGCTATAACAATCCAGATAACAAGTCTAACATTGGAAGACAATTCTCCTATTCTCACCAACCAAGCAATACAGCAACTATTTATCAGCTACAGATTCCTTGACTGCGACCCTGCTGAACTAGAAACACCCATGTCTCTACAGAAACCCAAAGCWCCTCACAGACCTATTTATTATAATTTTAAAAAAGGTAAATAAAGAATGTACAATAGTAGTGATGGTTACGCTGCCTGTGCTTCAAGGTGTCCCTGATGTAATACTACGCACAAAATATGCATTTCCTATTGAATTGTCGCACGCAACCTTAGCAAACTTTGCCCTAAAACCTCAAATATTAAACTCGTAATATATGTACCCTCTTACCGCTGACCAGTTTTGATATAAAATCATGTTATGTGGTGATCACATGACCAAGGTTACAAGCAATGAATCATGGTTGCAGCACGAATGAAGCGTCAAAACACTAGTTGCAATAGGTGACCGCGACCACACCTAACGTTTTCACGTTTTCTACTTTAGTGCAATAGGAATACAACAGAAATACGACAGAAGATCACTTAGCCTGAACGGTTTTCATTGTGCTTTTGTTAGATTCCGTTTGCACTGTTCTTTATTCTTTACATTTTTGAAATTAGATRTATGTTGGTAACTGATAAGAGTGATTTGTCTTGTAGTTTTTCATGTCGATGGTGACACGAATCCTGTGAAAAGAAACTATTTRAAGTACATGTTAACGGCTGAAAGCCCTACGGAAGGAAGGTAACAAGATTGCACTATGCTCTGACAAACTCCTAAACTCAGKCTCGCATGTATAGATTTTCCACTTTTCAAATAAAAAGGATGTTGCTAACTTCCTTTGAGATGGGCTTGTGAATAAAAAAAACGGGAACAGTGTTTGATATTTTTGTCATTTTGTAGGATTATATTTACTGTTGTGAGTGAACCCGCTGACCCTGATGAAGGAGACTGCATGGATGTCGCATACGCRTCTGTCGACCTGCTAGAGGTACTTATACAATATCCACAATTTGACTTCATTTACATTCAAATCATTTGTTAGGATGATCAACTTACTGAAAGAATGTTGACGTTCAGAGCTTGTTCTTGTCGTTTAACAAATGCTTTGATAGGCATCTTCGTCGCTTAGAAATAACCCGTGGACTTTCCGTGTCAACTTTTAGTAGCACCCTAGGGGAGTCTATGATATACTATAAGTTATTCTCCTTTCACGTTAATTACGTCTGCGTAAAACAAGAATGTTTCWGTCAGTTCTACCCACAATGCCTTTCCATGGTATCAATCCCTCTGAGCGGGCACATTGTTTGTAAGTTTTATTAAMCAAACGATGATTCTTTTTTAGATTCTTCAAACTGGAAAAGATTTCATAGACCAAGACATAAATCGTAAGTAGTTCAATCATCAATCAATKCTGTACAAACGAGTTTGAGACAATTTTCRAACCACAAAGGCTCGTTACTTCGGACAGACCGTCAAAACGTTAATAATTCAAGCAAAGTTAGAGGGGAAACACCAAAATACAATGGCCGCTTTCGTGGTTGTAATATTAGCTATCACAACAAACGTTTGTTGAATCGTCTTTGTATTGACCTCTGCACTAAAAAGCATCCCCGTCCATGGTAACACGGACAAGCCTTGTGCCAAACTCCTTTGTAAAGTGGGTTATTGTAACTTATACCAAGCATATTAASCCAGCGTTTATACTTTAACGATCAGCACTCAAATCAGACAAACAGGGCCATGGTCAAACGACATCACTTACGAAGTTTTGTTTATGTTTCAAAATAAAAATACATAATATAATTAAGCAAAAACCAACTCTCTATTATCCCTGTACACTATATGATGGAGATTTTGCATGATTCGACCTTAAAACTGACGGATGGAAACGGTTTGCGCTTAGATATCTCAATAGTCTCCTTCACAGTTACCTGCGCCATCTTGAAAGGTAGCCGTGCCTTGTCATCGAAGCGAGACAACCGTTGAGCGTGCAATGATAGAAACCTTCTTTCACACCTATAGACAATTATTCACAGGTATCTATCATTGCACGCTCAACGGTCGTCTCGCTTCGATGCAAAGGCACGGCTACCTTTCAAGATGGCGAAGGTATCCGTGAAGGAGAGTATTCACCTCATAAACCTGAAACACGACCCCATTGAACGACGGTTGGCCGTGGCGCTTTTTAAAGAGCGTGGGAATGAGCCAAGCATCATCTAATCCCTTATTAACCTTTTACTAGTCACCAGTCTCACGAATGAAGACCAGTCCGACGTTGGCAGCTTAACAGTGACCGTTGAAGCTTTCGAAGCTTTACGAAGTCTCTATGACGACGAGGATTAGACTTTAGACCATGTACATACACGACAGCTTGTATATAGAAATTATTTATAAAACACATCTAGTTGCTTTAACTGTGTTATAAAAACTAAAAAATGTACATAACGGTTACTGATATACGGCAGCACKCCCATTGTACAGCGGTCTTACCATGAACTCGGGCGTTAAGACACTTTTAGTGTTAAAAAGACGTGAGTCACATCACAACATTTATTTTTAAATAAGCAAAAATAAACATACATATAGTTGAATCCTGATTTAAAATGTTATGCAAGATAATACTTTAGACGGATAGTTTTGGGTTTGTGCCTTCACAATATTATCGCGATATTATGTTCTTGTTATGTTACATCATTTGTCTTCAATGGACAGAAAATTAGTATAAAAAGTATGATGAATTAATCATAGTWAGGTTGTTGGTATAGATCGATGATGGTTAGCCTGTGCGATAGTTATGAWTATCGAGGTTTTGGTATCCCTGTGCTTTTCTACGTGCAATGATGACTGYAACCATAACGACAACAAACACTGCAGCRATRACTACACCAGCAATGAGACCCACCGAGCTACCACTAGACGACTTGTCATCGATTGTCTTTTTGTCCTGTAAAATAACATTGGCATTAATAAACTTTATATATCTCTCGATTGAAATTATAACTTGTCTTTACGATAAAAGAATCGTTGGTGCTGACGTGCACAATAATAATCAAAAGAAGTCATACTATTTTCTGTAGATTACCATAATACCTGTTCTTTCTCAACGCCAACAATCCTTGATTTTATAAACAAAGGATGTGCTTTAATCCCCCAGATCTGCCGGTCACGTGTTAATAGCACTGAACTATCATTGCAACTCGACACTAGTAGACCATCCTTKCCGACGGCGTACCGATCGTACTCGTGAACAACCAAATCATACACCGGGATTTTACTTGCCGTCAACGACACGAGAGTGGATGCCCTGAGGTTCTGCTGTAGTTTGACCTGTTTTCCTCGCAATGCATGAAGGGTGTGTGTCGTCGAAATGTTTTCAGCAGCAACCCATTGATGTGTGTTTTGGTCGTAAAATGGATGGTTGTWAGTCGTCCACAGTTCGTCAACACCTGTACGTACCACTACCAGCTCGTCAGRTGACACGTACTTTCTGACAACACCATCAACTTTTCTAAAAAAAACATATTAGAAATAACTTTTTTTCCTGGAATATTGAGAAAAGTAAATCAATCCATTACTTATTATACCTCCGGATCTTTCTTTCAACAAATTTTTCATTAAATATTCTTTGAGGCGTTAAGTCTCTCAAATATCATTTCATATACATTCCTACCTCATGTATGTCACGCTAGGATTATCACCTTCGTGACGCGTGACAACCAAGTCACCTTCCTTTACATCCTTTATTGGCACCAGTCCTCTGGACGTGTGGACAAGAGTGTCTCCTSTAAAACAAGACTTCACCAAGCAACAATCGTGATGCCAAGTTGCTCTACATTTRATTGGRTTGGAACAGATGCACGTCTCAGGAGGACAACACTTGGGACACTGGATGGCGTCACACTCGGCTCCTACATATGGACTATTACACTCGCACCTACGTCAATAAAATACAGTGAGCAATGGACGACGTCACACTCGGCTCCTACATATGGACTATTACACTCGCACCTACGTCAATAAAATACAATGAACTATGGACGACGTCACACTCGGCTCCTACATATGGACTATTACACTCGCACCTACGTCAATAAAATACAATGAAC